CATGTATATCAACTTCATTTATCTTTCGTTACCTTGTAATTGTCTCACACAGTACCACAGTGAGAGAGAGGCCACCAAATCAGGAACATACAGTTTGGCCCACTTGAAAAAAATTATATTTAACGCTGCTCCAAGTACTGATTGTATTTGAGCTGAAATGATTGCAACATTATACCAAAGTGTAAGCATGGATTCTGCTGATTTAAGGTTGAAAAATAATGAATTTATTTCTGTTTGCAGGCCCAAAGATTTCACAATGCACTCTAAATACTCTTTGAGGAAAGACTCATGGGCGACACTCATTACCTGTGTATGTTTGTAAATAAATTGCTTTGCTTGTTCAGTCAAAACAAGACTCTGGACATGTTTTTGCTTCACCTGACTCTAGCATGCATTGAGTGAACAGAAAGCACTGGACTGTTTGTTCTTGGAATTAAAGTGAATCTCTGTCTTTAAGCGGTGTTCAGACATAAACCAGAGTGAATCCTTGGCTGGCGTCTCTGTCCAGATGTTAGCTTTATGCTAGCAAGCAACCGACTCTGACTGAATTCAAGACTCACCAGAAACTCTGGTTCTCTCTCCTTTTTCGTCTTTTCTCTGTACATTTTCTGACGTAGATTAATAAAGCTTCAGAATATGTGCAAGTTATTTGCTCAAGTTGAAATATTTTGAACTTGTGTTGATGCGTTTTTGCGTCAATTCAGGCCACCACAGGTTAATTAACGTATACGGCCTCTAAAATTCACCTTGTGTTCTGTCTGAACACGGTTAAAGCCACAGAAAAGGGTTTTTCAAACCTTAAGTACTGTGTTTAACATTATTTTCTGTGGCTTTAACCGTGTTCAGACAGAACACAAGGTGTAACTGAAGACCAAGATGTTTTGCTGCTGGAGCTGGTCGAATGTTTCAAGCGTGTTTCACACCCAACAGTTTTGTCACGAGTACACGCCTGGCCATCACAGCAGCAAGGTGAGACATCAAACCACTGGATTTTCGGGGGGGTTAGTTTCTCATTGAATATTAACAAATAAACAATAGTTAAAATTTAAGTTAGGTTGGAAAGTTAGTCATTTATAAAAAATTCAAAAACCCTGTTAAACTGCTTTATTTGAACTGTGTGGGTGTGGTTTGTTTGAGGTACTGGTAACATAAGCAGACAACCCCACGCTTTAGATTCAAACATTTCTAAACTCTGGTTGGTGCATGAAAAGTTGTGACATCACTCTTTTCTAGCTGAGCCCAACCCACTTCAAGCCAGTGAAAAAAGCAAGGACAAAATGAAAAATGCAAGGACAAAATGAAAAATGCCGAAATCTCTCATGAGAAAATAACCAAAACTGTGGCTAACTGGCAGAAATTGTGATTGGGCAAGTTTTCAAGCTTGCTGCAGCTTCACTTCATGTTGCACCAGTGTTACATTCAATCTGTCAGACTGAAATAGTGTCATCTCTAACTGCTGCACTGGGAACAGTTCACGGTACATGTCAAAGTCAACTCGCAGACATGTTACATTTATTCTGTTCTTATTCTTAAAAAATGAACTCATACCTTTTTTATTCTGACGTACCTGCATAGTATTCTGTGTGTGTTTTAAATGCACTGTAATTATAATAAAGCTAATAATTAGTAGCCTTGTAAGTAGCCTTTCACCATTTGTTCTCTCTTAAAGTGGCAGGGACAGCCAACCCGAAGGTAGTGGGTAGTGTACAGTAATTTCTCAATATGAATTCAAAGTTGGTACCATGTCATGTTGCACATTATGCATTTTAATTTCCAGCACTTAAAATACAAAGAGAATTGCACAATACTCACGTGGAACTCTCTGTCCATGTGAGTGCTAGTCCACAACATGCTACCAAAAGTTCTCTTGCTTAGTTAATGACAGCAGGTAGGATCATTTTTAAAATTTCTTACTTTATGCTCTATAGTATATGTTTTAATATGTACCGCTCTGTGGCCACAAACATTGCAGTTTGTGTGTAATGTGTACTTGATTTCTTTAGTCTGTGTTTCAAATTCATGAACCAGCAGTTCTTAAACTGTCTGATAGTCAAGACAAGCTCTTGACATCAAGGCCTGCTTTTCTGAGCCACGTTTATGAAACGCCCCTCTGTCTTGCAAATGCATAACCGGGATTATAAAACTGTCAGGACTGATTATTTCAGTACAGTAAATAGGTGTGACTCCAGAAGCCTTGACTGGAAAATAATTGCTCCTGTGTCTATGATGCAATCTGAGAGGTCGGTTTCTCATCGAGTGGGAACTCTCCTGCTTGACACACATCCAATGTAAACAAGACCAGCAGTCACGCCAGTCTCGTGCTGCCATCAAAACAAACAGGCCAGGGCCGAGTGTGGACACATGGCATACGTGGCTTAGTCCCCTCCATTGACAGCCTAATTCCCCCCTCAGCGCCTCATAAAGGGGTCTATTGACAGCCCTTCCTGAGCCCTGCTCACACATAAGTGACCCTCATTGTGAAAATATGTGTACCATCGTTTGGGGCAAGCTGTGGTCTATTGCCCTTCCCTTTAAAATAACAACATTTGGCTGAAACGGCATTTTGCCCCTTTCCTGTCATGATACTGTGACTCAGGGCTTTTCCACCATTTACAGTAGTTTGTAAACAAGGAAGTGGTGAACACTGAGCATCGTGGCCTAGTGACTGCTAAAATAATTGAGTGGGAACCTGCTTGATTATTTTAATCTTGGATTCTGTTACATTTAGATAAAGTGCAGACATGTTTCTAAAATAAATAGGTGGGTCTAAGTCTGTAAAAATCAGTGACTGCAATGTTGTTTCAACGCTGGTCCATGGTCAGGCGGGGGAAAGCACTGCAGGTGGACCTGAAAATCTGATCCTCTCTTCATGTTTGACAAGGCTACCTAATCCTTTTTGTTCCACCCCAAGAGACAGCTGAACCCACTGTAACAAAAAACCAGTGACGCAAAGCAAGACATTAAACGCTCCTTACACTTATTTATTGATGGGTCTTTCAAAAACACACAGATAAACTTTTTAAGGAGTGTGGTGGAGGCCCCAGTGTGAGTTCAAGGACAGCTGTGGGATGACACATGTAGGGAAGAGTTAGTGGAGATAGATAAAATTCAACCCCGTAAATGAATCAAGCCACATTCTCTGAAAATGGAGAAACATTTTTGTGATTCCTGTACCTATACTGAACACTTTGTAATTGTTAGTGTTGGTGGAATCACACTTAGATAACGCATCTAGATATACAAGACCCTGTTTTTATCCCACACATAACCATTCATTTCAATAAAATCACTGTTGTAATAAGAGCGCCTGAGCTGTATTAGTTACCAGACTATAACACATAGTTTTCTAGATTAGTCCTGTTATCTAAGAAAAAATAAATAAATTCCTGGGATTGAAATTATTTATCCAAGGTCATCGTCATTCAGACAACAGACGTTCAGAGGGAAGGAGATTCAGTCGGCCCATTAGAACAAAATATGAAATGAAAGGTTATTTCATAATAAATCATCCTGTGTGACTTTGCATGCAGGAGATTACACTATAGCCTACACAAAACTGAGCATCAACAATAAAGTAAGCATCAACAAAAAGCTGTATAGTGACAAAACTAATTAAACTAAATTAAACACTATCCCTTTTGTGAGTCACAATTACTTTTACCTTCTTTCAGTTTTAATATTGTTATTATTATATATTAATATTATAATATTAGGTATTTAGTTTTGCATTTGACCAGGATTTGCTACTTTCAGTTTGGTGTGATTTCTAAAATATTTAAGCAACATTTTAAGAAGCATGAAAAGGCATTGCAATCCTCACAGGACTCCTATAAGAAGACCTATTACTTTCTAGTTTTGAGCCAAAATTGAGGGGTTAATTTTAATTCAGCATAGAACGCAATTTAAATTTAGATTTTTTTTTTTGTTGTTGCTAAAATGTTTTTTATACCTTCATGACCGACAACACCGTAGCTGTGCGTGTCTATGTCATAATGAATGATGGGGACAGGTCAGAGTCTAGTGAGAGGCGAGCCTTGGACATCTTACATAATAGTCCTCTCACAACCTGCATATCCTCCCCTGCAGACAGCACAGCACAGTAGACCTGCAGAGGAAATTAATATTTTAATCTCTCACCCAGATTCAAAGAACAGTCCCTGCTCTCACAGGGCCGCATATAAATAAGTCATGAGCTGAGGGGTTTGTGTGACAACAGGGCTGGAGAGACAGACACAACAACACGCGTTGGGAGGAAGTACACAGCTCAAGGCTTGGCAGCGACTTTCAAATGGGATGTGAGTGAGTGACGGCCTGTAAAGTTTTGGTGTAACTATCTAAAAAGCTGCAGATTTAGACAAGCAACAACCAGCTCCTTTCAGGTGCATCAGTTAATATGCTCTGCGGACTTGGTATTTGAAACACTTGCACCCTGAATTCCCTGACGATGACAAAGCATGGCAAGACTGCTTCTCTTCAAGACATAGAAATTAGGTCACTCCCACTACATTACTGAGAACATGATGCAGACGGAGCTCCCTGAATGGATTCAAGCGCCACATTGTGGTCAGTCTGAACAATCTCATGTGTGGTTTATGCTACAGAGGGCATCAGCCTCAGTAATATTAACTTTAACAGAATATCTACTGTAGATTTTGTTCCAAAAACTCTTCTTCCGGCTGGAGCTGAGAAACATGTGATTTACAGTGGCTTTTTATGTTTAACTGGTACCTCTGGTGTGTGTGTGTGTTCTGAAGGCAAAGTTTGCTTTTTCAGCAAGATTGAATGGTTTTGAGTGGAATCCTTTTGACCTGAAAATTGGATGTTTGGGGAATTGGGTGGGAAGTTTTAGATTTGTGTTTAGAATTTCAAGAAAGAGAGGCATAATTGTGAAGAAATTTTAAGAGATCGAGAAAAACTGTAAGTCAAATGTACATCTGCAAAATCAAGATGAACTCAGAGGTATATCCTTTGGGAAATAAAGACAAGCAGGCTCCACTACATACTTTTCTGAGAATGTTAAGTATTTAATATGTGTTAAAAAAACATTAAAAACTAAAAAGCATGCCAATGCTTGATTGAGTGCTGTTAACAAGCAAAATTCTTCATTATTCATGTTACAGCTCAAACATTTTTCTACATCCAGGTTTAAACTTTACATTGACCAACTTATTTCTTACATTCAAAAAAAAAAAAACCCCGACATTACTGTATTTTAGAACACTAAAATCAAGGAATTGTAATCTTAAAGGTCCCAGCAGGTTGTTGTTGTTTTTTTTGTACCTTGGGTAAAATGTTAACATCCTCTTCCAGTGACATCACAACCACATTCAAATTTACCTAATGGAAGCACACCACCTTGATGAGGGATCAATGACTCGTTGCAATCTCAGACAAGATGGGGTGAAGGTGATGCAGGTGAACACGCTCCTGGGGTGTACAGTTATTTTTTCAATTGGCTACACAAAGTTGTTGGTTTTTCTTTAAAACAAAGTAATTTCTTTGGAGGACTTAGTTTAAAAAAAAAAAAAAAAAGGACACTGGAAGAGGATATTAAGTAACGGATAGTAACAAACTGTTAATTGTTAAACAAAAAATAACATGTTTAGGACTGAAAAAACCTCAGCACTGAACCATTATGCAGTCATTCTACAGTAGATGACAAAGAAATACATCTAAATTAGTCCTACGTAAGCTATTTCAAGTTAAATATAAGTCTCCATCTCTTCACCTCAGATGCATCAAATGTTTTGTTCAGTAACTGCAGTGTCTCATTTACACTCCCACGCAAAACCATTATTAGCATTCTGGCACCCTTTACACCTGGCATCAACATGCGTCTGGACTGACACCGGGTTGTTTGTTTTGTTTTGTTTTTTGCTGTGACCATTTGTAAAAGCACCCAGGATGGACTACTAACCTAGTCATGCAAACACTTTAAAAAGGACAATTAGGATACATTAGACTAGTTCTAAAATGAAATGTTGCACCAGATCATGTAAATAGCTTATTTCCAATGTGGAAATAAAAGACCATGCAGGATGTGGTTTGGATATGCACAAGTACTTGGACTGTTTAGCTTTTGGCTCTGTATCCCACTACTGTGACTTGTAAATGAAACGATGACTGTTATGTGTAAGCTTTGGTAGTGTTTACATCGACATCAATGTAGCCTTTAAAAAAATAATAATAATAAAAAAAATAGGGGCTTCAATTCCTACACCACTCGCTGTTCTTAAATTCTAATGTGCAATTCCAGTGTGCTGAGTCGAAACATTACTGTCCTAACACTTAAAAGCTGCACAGGAAATGCACTACTAGATGAAAATGCTACAACTAGCTGGCCTGCTATTTAATACAGTCTCTGGACACAGCCCCGGGTATGATCCATGTTAATGCCAGGTATTATGAGGGCCTATGATAATATTAATGTACTCTAATTAGCTCCAGTCTGTGTGCATTGTGCCAGTCAATAAATGATTCATAATATCAAATAGTTCTACAAAAGCCCCACATATGTAAATGTTTGAAAAAAAGTAATTTTACACATTATTTTTTCCCCTGGTATATATTAAAAAAGTTTTACCCTTTTGAGTTTCCCAAATGAAAATAGCTCATAGCATATATGGAACTGATATACTGTCTGTCAACTGATGTCGGGGGGTGGCGTCTCTCCTACTTCCACACTGTCAAAGTGGCGTTTTCTGTACAGCGGTATGTCGCTCATGCTTCAAACATTGAAGTCAGGCTTGTCATGTAGTGTGAAGCGTTAGAAGCGGGAGGAGGAGGAATGGTAGGGGGTCCAAAGTCTTCTGAGGAAACTCAATTAGTTTGCAGTTGGACAAGGCCTCCGGCGCTCCTATTCCAAAGTATATTCCTGAGTTAAATCTGTGCATAGTAGTGGCAACGATGATGAGTGGGTCATTAGTCACAGAAACGGCTTGCGCACACACCCGCATAGTCCCTCCCACACAAATAGTTAGTTCTTTGTTCATTGTCCAAACCGGCCGGCTAGTAGTTGAGGAGCCGCTCCCTTTCTGTACCAACACAGCGCTTGTTAGCAGCAAACACCTTTGCCTTGTTAACTGAAGGACCTGTGAAAAAAAGTCAGAACATATATTTAATTTTTAAAAAAAAACAAACATTAAATCTCAGATACTTTTCCTTTTAAATGTGTGACATCACTGACCGATATAACTGAGCAGTACAGGGAGGAAGATGAGGCCGTGTGTTGCCCCCAGCAACACTATGGCCAAGTACATCCTAAAGTAGAAAACCTGGAAGATCTGTGACTTAGAAAGTGCCAGGATTAGAATACCGCCAAACTTTGTTAATGTGATCCCACTGAATACCTGCAGAAAGGAGACAAGTGTCATTAAATGTCATGTCGTGTGATGATGACTAAAATTAGACAAGAATTATTTAGGTTTATACATTATAATTTTCAGCTATAACAGATATGCAAGTTGGGTTGCAGGGAAGGATAAAGCAAAAGAACTGCTATATCCTTGTTTGTTCACACTAATATCCATGATAGCAGCACACAAATATACATATTTAAACTAAAAAAAGCTTAGATTGAAAAAGCTTTTCTTGTGATTTTGGTTAAGAGGTAATGCTCGACTTACAGAGCTGCCCATGTGAGCCAAGGCCTCCTCTGCCCGCTCCACTCGGTCCTTCTTCACACTGATGGAAAAGGCTCGTACAATATGACTGCAGAACTCCACCGAGATACCACAGCTCTGCAACACAGAAAAGGGAACAACTCAGCACCAAAACATCAAAATGCTGGAATATAAGCAAACTGAGTAAAGTCAGCATTGGCCAGTGAGATGAAAGAACTTTTTCTGATTGTTATGACGAAAAAATCTAGGTGGTGGATACAGTGACATTGCTAGAACAAAGTCCCTTAGGCTGAGCAACAGGGGTCAGATGATCAAACATACTGTAAACAAGTCCCAAGTTTAAAGGCCATCTTAACTGGTGATTAGTATATTTTATATCAGTAATGATAAACAATCTTATCTGATTAATTAAAGGTACAACTCTTAATATTTGTTAACATACCTGTAATTGATATGATCAATAATGCTAAGCTTGCCTTTACAGAGTTATTACTTGGAAGTGAAAGAAAAAGTGAATGTTCCTGAAATTAAAAATTGCCCAGTAAAATGTTGTCATACCTGAAAAACAACAAAAATAGGATGAAGACTGTACAAAGATGAAACGTTCCTTTAATGCCAAATTCCCCTCTGACAAGTCTTCCTTCAATGCTTATATTTTTTTCCAATATAATATATGTTTATCTTGCTTTACTTAAAAACATACTTAAAAGTTGTTTGATATTGTCTTTTGGATTAAATTCAGGTGTTCAGTAGACTGTACTATGAAGGGAGTTCCACCTACTCAGAGTTATCAAGCAAACTCAGGGTTGACAAACCTACAGTGGTGTTAAACGGTACTGCCATGGTGAATACAATGTTAGTTGAGATGGTGTTAACTTAGAGTTGATGCGCAGTCGTATAAAAGGGGCGTGTTTGGCCAGTTTTTTCGCAATGGCGCATTGTCCATATTTTCCCCAGAAGAATGCAAGTTTTTTCAGGATTTGAGGAGTTTAAAAGTTTAACAGTCAAATCCAACACCGTGGCAGCTGACCAAGCCAGGGAGGCTTATCGGCATCGCATTGAGTTAATTTGTAATCATCTATAGGCTACAGTGTTGTTATTGTACACTTATTTTGTATTTTAGACACTGTTCTTTTATGTGTAATATGATTAAGATGTAAAGGTAGAAATGCACATTAATCTACAAGTAAAACAATTACACACAAAGTTACAGACTTCGCAGCCCAGTTCAGCCCACAATCACTATATTATCATGCACCTTATAGACTTTGCAAGAAAACATTTGGTTTGGATTTTTTGTGACTTTAATTAAAGGGCGATTCCGATTTTTGTTCTTATAAATTTACGTCTTTCATCAAGGATTTTTCTTCTCGGTTTATTAATCCCCACCCCGGCTCCACATTTTCTGGAAACGTAACATAGTCAATCTAAATATGTGAAAACTCTTAGGATAAGTCAATAATAGCCTACAAATGGTCTACATCTCTGAAACTGGTTCTTTATTTAGCCTAATTATGATCTCCTACCTAAAATCACCAGGCTGCAGGGATGGCTGTATGAATGTGATGCTATTGTGTTAAGAATAACGTAATTTCAGCTGCAACCGCAGTGGAACAAGTCAGGATGAAATCTAAAAATATTTTATCAAGTGGTATGTACACCCACTTCTCATCATTAACACTGGGTAAAGATGTGGTGTGTAGTCCATCTATACACAGGGTAACCTGTGAGTTAACCACTGAACATAACCTGCTCAGAGCAGTTTAGAGATGCAGCGTATATTGCCGTGGCAACAGACCTCGGGTAAAACCTATCCACCTTTCGTAGTACCGGTTAATCGGGAAGTTACACCCGACGTCACCTGGATAAGCCAGTCATCTCGCTTTGTAGTACAGGCCACAGATCTACACTGTACGTGTGTGTTTCATGTTGCCTCTCACCATGACCAGGTTCACAAGAGACACTGCGTTGAGGCTGATGTTCCACAGCCACATCATGCCGAACATGTTGACCAGGATCATGGCGATGGTAATGCTGACGAGCACAGCTGACCATAGCTCGAAGCCCAACAACACCGTCGTCACCAGAAATATGGATGCCAATGACATGCCCAAGTTGAGAGCGGTGTCATACGCAATGGTGAGGTACTGCTCGTAAAACACATAGAAGACGCTGTAAAGGAGGACATGTATTTTAGTGAACAGCCCTTAAGAAAAATTGGCACGATTCGTCTAGCCTATAATGTGCACCGTCATTCATTTTCTATTTTTATTATTATTCATGTTCTTTCAAGCAAAGCTAATTATCTGCTACTTTATCCCGTCATGCATTTCAAAGGAGACCTATAATTCAGCTTATTCTAACAATAAAGAGACAAGGCTAATCTAATTTGGTATCCTAAAATCACTTTTTCTTGGAATATTTCATCTATATTAGTGGTGGTATGACTCTTATTAAATAGGAAACAAGGGACAAAGATACTTTCAGTACTAAAGGTCAGACATGAGCTGCATTACCATTTATAATGTTTTCCTTGCTGTTGCTTCTCTATGACCTACTTCCCTCCCAATACCCAAAACAAGCAAAACATCAGTTACAAATATTTCACCTTAGAAAACCCTAAAGCGGTAGTTGAAACTCAAAACACCTAATGACTGTCACAAAGACAACAATGATAATGATATTATTTACAGCCTATTAAGCAAAAATGAGAGCACTACGTACAGTACAACAGGACTTACCTGTAGGCAAAAACTTTGTGGTTCGTGGACTGAGTGATATTGTCAGCTATGATTCGGGCCATTCTTAAAGCATCTATGAAGTCTGGGGATTCTTTCAGGATGGTGTGGTAGGTCATGAAATAAGTGGCTCCGACCCCCGTGTTGCCAGGATACAGGTCAACTGCCGTGGCGTAGGCTGCGTGGCCGCTGGAGGAGCATTAAGGGAGATAAACGGAGGGGAAATTACCAACCACAACGAAACTGGTATACTGTGATTTTTTAAAAGCATAAGTTAAAGTATTCAATACAATTTTTCAACAAAACCCTAAAAAAATAAAAACATTTCAGCAGAGCAATAAGATTACCCTTTTCCACAATTGGCGTTGGGATTGTCTGACAAAAACATGGGCAGAAACCGCATGAAGTCGTCTCCTACTGGCCTCTGCTTCCCACTGGGAGTCATGGGCCGACAATGTACACAGGAGGAATTTACCACTGGAAAACAATATCAGAAATATATTCATTCATTTAACCAACTGGATTGAAGAAATATACAGATTTGCTGAGACAAAGCCATGAACTGAAAACAAATCACCTCAAAGTTGCACTTAAAGGTCTTATATTTTAGCACTGAGCCTACAGTGTAAAACAATACTTGTTATTATTATAAATGTCTTTTTCATATGCTGAAGCAATGTGTTGCCGACACTCAAACATAAGTAATTTCTATTAACCAGGGATCTTTTATAATGGAATTCCTCATTTTGCTGCATTAATTATACCAAAATTTTGCTAACATAATTTATCTGTGCTGATTAATGCCAGAAACACCACAATCCTGTTAAGATGAAAAGTTAAATTAGTTTGTACAAGTCACTCACATACAGATTGAAAAACCTGAATTTTGTTCTGCAAATAACAATCTATAATACCAAGACAAGAACATCAATGTTTAGTTTTATATTGCCATATATCTACTGTGCTTTTTGCGGGATTATTCCCTTAAACTCCATTCATTTCACTTATTTTATGTAAGAAAAACTGGCAAATAAATTTTTATTTTTTTTTTTAAAGTAGACCGTTGCAGATTGTGACTCCAAGATCATGAGACAAGGGTTAAGGGCATGTTCACATTGTATACAAAATTACCCGAGGCATTGCAGAAGGCCCCAGTGTTGTTGTAGTATCGACAGCAGGTGGACTGAGGCTTCACCCAGTCAAAGTAGTCATCGAGCCAAGAGGACGGTGTGAAGGCGATGGTTGTGCTGGGAGTAAAAAGGAATAGTGAAAGTGAATACGGACAGACTTTAATCTTTTCATGACCATTTCTTAATCACAAGTTTTTTAAGTTGCAAAGCCTGGCTGCCATATACATTCAAATGTTGTATATTTAATGTAATTTTAAAAATTCATAGCTCGGACTTACTAGTTGCTGATGAGTGAGGCGGCGTAGACCTGCTGGACTAGAGAGTTGTTGTTGCAGCCCACTCCTCCACACACAACATTCTGGCCCTCTGGAGAGCTGTAGTTGAGACCGTCCTTCACCACAAAGTACACTGGAGCTCCAGTGTGGAGGTATTCGCTTATGTTCTTAAAGTAGTCCAGCACGTACGAGTCCTACATGGAGAGACAGGTCGTCAGAATACCAAGCACAGAAATGCAAGCCAAGGCTATTATGCATGTTGTACAGGAAAGACTGTTGCAAAAATGTAACGATATGGGAATTTAAATAATCACATCAAACAGCATGCAACTGATTTAGCTTCATGGATGACTGACAGGAGCAAAATAAACTCTGATAAGTACAACTACAAAAATTCAAAGCAAAACTTTTCTACTTAACCCACATCTATTAGAAACAAATTAAAGCTGTGTTAGCCATCCACGAACACAGCTATGCTAGAAACCACAGACTTACATCAGGCATGGAGAGTTTCTGGTCCAGTCCAACCTCTACTTTATTCACCACAGCAATACTGAAGGAGAGCATTCCCACAAACACTGCCACCTAAACAAAGAGATGAAAAAGAAAAAAAAAAAAAAAAAAAACACATTCATAAGAAAAACATAATGATCACGTAGTGAACAACCATTATATTCTACTCAGTGAAAACTAAGAGGTGCAATAGTCAAACTAAATCCATCAACACATTAGAATACCACATGATGGTGGGATAGGCAGAGCATCAGAGGTACTTACTATGATCGGTCGTACCCACTCTTTGAGGATGAATGGGGCATAGACTTTCTTGAAAAAGCGGAAGAGGAAGCTGTCTGTCTTGGTTTCCTGACCTTCTGACAGTTTCACACAGCAAATTATGTCGAGTCGATTTCCCTTTTGAAACAACAGACAACAGTCTGTCACTAATTTGAAGTTGACTCATTTAGAACAATGCTTCAGCCATGTGTCACTGAGGTGAGAGAGGAAGTTTTCACCGCAAACAACTACTGCAGTGGTTGTCAGGGTGAAAACTCATTGTAGCTGTACGACATTAAATCTGCAGGAAACCCCTTTTCATGAAAACCTCAATCAGCCATCTGCAAACCCTCCAGTATCATCATTTATGTCACCACTATTTCCCCCTTAGTCTCACCTCCTGTCTTCTGGCGTCCAAGCCGAGCAAGCTGACAAAGCAACTGATCTGCAACAGGAAATCAATAAAAACAGCCAAGCCAGCAAACATAGAGAAAGTCCTCACTGCGGGCATGTTGGACAGGGCTCCTACAGAAGACAAAGTCAACAGTTTTAGCAGCATGTGACTCACCAGGAAACTATGGCACTTTTTGTAGCAGCTGCGGTAATTTGTTTTCTTCATTTAAAAAGGGTGGAACATTATCATTTAGAATACACGTAGTTTCATTTACGTGGTCTGTGTACACAAAGAGGGTGTATTAAACAGGTACTATTTTACCCAGGAAGAAAGCCACCGTCTCGGAGAAGGAGGAGAGGAACATGCTAGGGGCTATGTCTCCAAGAATACGACCAATCTGCTGATGAAGTTGCTCCTGGGGCATCCGCTCATCCCTCTGTTGAGAAATACAAATGGAAGTCACTTTTAGTAGGTTTAACAGTTTTTATTGGCAGCACGCAATAAACAAATAAAAAATAAGATCTTGGTAAAGCAACAGAAATGTCATGTCCACATTAATAAAACTAAAAGTACTAATCATTAAGATGAACATAAGAATTAAACCATGTGGCAAATCAATGGCAAATTAAGTTAATTAACAGCTTAATGGACGGAGACGGAGGTTACCTGATATGTCTGTACTATAATAAAGATGTTGTCTACTCCAACAGCTAGCACCAGGAAAGGAATGACTTCAATCACAATGAGGGTGAGGGGGACACCAAAATAGCTGAAGATCCCCAGTGAGGAGGCCACGGAGCTCAGCACAATTAGGATACCCGCTACACCCAGAGAAATCTTAGAGTCCACCTGCACAGGCAAAAAGATATAGGATCAGTCACGCTCTTTCCTTCAGCTGCAGGACGTGGCAGCATGTTGTCACTGGCATGAAAGAGGAGTTACATTGCGTAATGTGTACAACTATTTCAGATATAGTTTATGGTAACATACACTTTCAGAATAAAAAAAATGCATGACACATTGTAGTAAACTGATGAGAACAATGAATCAGTTCCTGGGCTCTTACCAATACTCTTCTGAAGCTGTGGATGTGCCCAAGTGCCAGTGAGATGTAGATGAACATTATAGCGTAGCTGATTACTATGGTGCTGACATCACTGTTGCTCTCTCTGTCTAATTCATCTTCAATGCTCCTCTCTGCACTAAAGGCTATGGTCAGGTTGGGGTTTTTGAAGTTTTTCATGAACTTGATAAATCTGAAATGTGCACAAAAAAAAAATAAAAAAAATAAAAAGACAATAAGTACATGCAAAGACACCATTAACAGTGACTTTTGCTACATGAAAGAGCGCTCTCTGATGGATTTTAGAAACAGATTGTTGTCTCACTCTTTCTCCCATGCCAGAGCTTTGCCCATTCTGACTGAGTCATTCAGGTAGTTGTTGAGTGGAAATGTGATCACTAAAGCGGTGGCATTGTTGTAGTTGGTTTCTGTAATGCAGGGGGGAGGAGATACATTTATTGTAAAAGTGAGGCCATTGCTTAAACAATCCTGTAATAAAATCACCTTAATAATGATTATGAAAATTCCAAATTCCACTGAAAAGCATGGCTGCCTTTAAGAAGAACGTTTTTGGAAGAAGTGGACATTATGTCCTTGATTTTGTTCATACTATCATTTCAAGTAGAACACTGCTAACCTGACTCTTTAACAAAAGTGATTATATTGTATATACAGTGTAGGACTTATTGTTGCAATTATTAATACAAAGGCAACGGCAAAAAATGCTGGCTCCACTTCACTGCTAACTGTCTCAACATTGCACAATCAGCAAAGAGCCCAGTGTTCGGTGTCACTGATACATCTGAGTTAATGTGCAGTAAATTCAGTGACCAGAGATCATAGGTAATTTTACTTTATGCAATAAACAAATGTACAGATAGGTTGTGAACAGATTATGCAGCTGCTGTAAATGCAAAAAAAAAAAAAAAAAAAACTTAATCCATCTCACCATCGTAACCCCCAAGTGCCAGCCAAGGGAAGACGGGACCACCAAAGGTGCCTAAACAGGGGTCATGGAGCATAGTGGTGTCATTGAGAGATGCTGGTGCACTGTGGAAGAAAAAGCAGACAGAGTTATTAGCCTGAATAAAAGTCATTATTAGATTAACCCATTCATCTGTATCAGTTTTTCCATTATCTGACCGCGTGGCAGTGAGGTTAAGAAGAACAGATACAGAACAACTGCATGACAACCAATGAGGAAGTCTGATTGTGCTATTTTAAGAAGACACCCTAACAATAGTTCTCAGAACATACCAGCATCTGGAGAAAAGAGATTATTGTGAGGTGCAGGTGTTAGATTTCAACTCCACTAGAGGATTTGACCTTTTAATAATTTTTTTCCCTACACTTACAATATATTTCTGGAGCCGATTAAGACACATTTGCAAGAAAATGCTAGTTTAAAAAACAGGTTGAGTGACAGATTATTGTTAAACATTTGAAAATGAACAAAAAAGAAAAATTAACCAACTTCACAATAATCACCTGACACAGTAGAGGAAGTGGCTGTGAAAGTCAGCATAGACAAAGAAGTCGTCTCCCTTGCTGTGGTCCAGCACGGCATGGCTGTTCTGGAAGTAGTTCAGGACACTCAAGATGGTACAGTTGGTATTGTATGGGGCCAGTGGAGCCAAGCAGAGGTCTTTCAGTGTGACGTTCTGGCCCTCATATGTTGCTACAATACGTTCGATGTCAAGCTGCAGATCCAGCACCTGGTGGGTTATGGTTAGAAAAAAAGAAATAGAAAGGAGAACCAATAAACCACACTTTCAAGGAAGCAGTGGTTTCTATCTGATCTGGTAACAGACACATTACTTCTATATACAAAACACACATAGTGGCTCTAATGACAAAATACTTGTCATAATCCATCTCCTGAAATCACCTCTCCCCTAACAGACCTGGTGCAAAATGTCTTTGCCCAGGATGGCTCCAAATGGGACATCTGATCCTCCAAAGTATGGGGAGTAGATGAAAGTGTCATTGAGTGGAGTTGTTATGATGAGCTGCACAGTTCTAAAGAAGGGTCCAAAGTGGCTGTCAAAGTAGTCCTTCTCTTGACGAGCCTGGCTAGTGGGAGATGACCACAGCTCAACGGGGTCTGTGGTGACGCGCATGTAGACCAGGCCTCCAGAGGAGGCGACCACCAGGATCAGGCAGCCCAGTATGACCACAGAGGGATGCCGCACACAGAAGGAACCCCAGGAGCTGAAGATGATCCGCAGAGCATTCTCGAAGCGCTCACCCAATGTTTCACAGCATGATGCATTTACTAAGAGGAGAAAAGGACTGGGAGTTAGTTTACTCCATACAGCAGTATTGCACCTAAAGACTAGCATGGCAGACTGATTGAACAAACTAACAAACAAATTTTGTTATTATGCATCACAATACCTTGGTCAGGATTATCACTGTTGAGAGACAGGGGATTATTGCTGTCCAATATGGGGCCATACTCAGACATGATCATCCTTTTCCTGTATGTACAAAGAACCGTACAAGCCAATTCAATATTAACTTCTAAAGCAAGCATCAGAACCAACTTTGTGTTTCCACAGTGGGTAAAGGTTTTGGAGGTATACCTGTAACACCAAGCTCCCAGTACAGTTCCAATAAAGATAAGCAGGAAGGCAATGTAAGAGATCCACATGATGGCAGTCATAGCATCAAGACCGAGGATTGTCCAGGGACTGGGGACAGGGGGAGGTATAGGTTTGGGTCCACAGGCCTTTGTGCAGTCCTGACATGAGCAGGGGCCTGAACCGTCCTCCAGGGCCTCTGTACAGTTATACGTCTTGTTGTTCATGGGGGTATAGCCAGACACTGGGACATCTAGAGCAAAGAAATGGCATGACGCAGCATAGTGACTTAAACAAAAGTAAACAAATATTTAATTTACATAAAAGAAGCAGCAGGGATATTTTTTCTGCAGCAAGATCATGACCTAACATACAAAACTCCTACCAAATGATTTTGAAGGCTCAGCTATGGAAAAGTTTTATTCAAATAGCACTTCAGTTTACCTCATGAGAATTTAAAATATAGGCTTAGGTCCTGTCTGATAAACCAAACTATCCAAACTGATCCTATCTGGCTATAATTGACCCTGCTCTCTCTCTTTCGTAAGGAGTTGACTGGACAAGTATGCCTGTGTACGTGCACAAACAAAACACATTATTATATTTATGCTTACTTTATTTTTGCATTTTTCTCCTATGTTTGCTTTAATATGTGGATTACATGACTTTTGTATTTCCATATAATGTTTATTGAGGTGAGATTCCTTCCATATGCCTTCAGGTTGAGGTTTATTTTTTAACCTTTTAACCTTTTTTCACCTGCACAATTTGCTTCTGCTCTTTTGTAAAATGTACCTGAGAATATCGGGATAATAGGAAAGGGTGTCTGTCCATTGTTAATATTGAACATATACTGGATCCAGTTAGTGGCGTTGCAGTCCTTTGCATCCTTCCCACACAGCAGAGATAAGGCCTTCACGTTGCTGGATGGTGCCTGGACGTCCTTACACGCATTGTACATGGCTGAAAAAGAGCATTATATTATATTTAGAGCAAAACTCAAGATTTTCATTAAGTTAAATTGCCCACCCCCTATTTTATTTGACCAACAAATTTACGGTTATAACCATTAGTCACCCAAGGAATTACACAACTGAGAGCAGGACTTCGTGTTTAAGAAGGGAACTGATTATGTTTACTCAATAGATGTGATATGTCATGAAAATAATGGAGGAAAAATCAACGTCCGGCTGTGAACTCACAGTTAGCAAATGTCTGTCCAACATAGTACTGCACTTCAATTATACTGGAATCGTTGAACTTGGTGGCATTCATGAACTGACTCTGATGGGGGCTGCATGTCAGCTCACAGAAGAGGTTCATCAGATTGAAGAAGCAGGCGGGACACCTGCACACAGACATAGTGAGTGGACATAGAGTGGGAGAAGCAGAATGAAAACAAAAGCTAGACAATGGCTCATTGCATAACTTACAGAATAATAAAACAAGTTAAAGTTTAAGGGTTTAACAGTTTCAATGAAAAAAACAAGGCTATTACAAATGCAGTGCATTAAAAAAAAAAAAATCTACAAAAGATAAGAAAACATGCCAACCTCATCAATCAATCATTTGGCCTGTGTCTGTCTCTAGCCTATTATTTGGAAGATAGAAAGCCAAGGCTTTCATGTTAGAACAACAGACACCATTTGAGCAGCACATATCCTGACAGATTTAAGGTAGATAGCCTTCTCTTTGTGTTAACAAATTCAAATTAAAAAGTTATAACTGCAGGGCATACCGAGACAGGAACTGAAGAGGTAGCTGAAGACTCCCTTTGAGAGTGCGCAACTGGTCAACATCACAGCACAACAGTCGGTTTCCATAGTCATACCCAGGACACAGCTCCTGCATGTAAACACAAAACAGATGACGCCATTTTGACAGAATTTTTCCACAGTGCTAAATAAAGCACCGCTGGAATGCAGAAATTTGTTACAAAAAATTGGATTGAGCATCAAACGTCAGCAATAACAGGACAGAATCATCAATGCACTGTATGTACCGTGAGAAGGTCATAACCCTGAGGGTCTAGCGGGAGGGCAGGACCAGTGTAGTTGCAGTTGTACTTCTTTCCGTGCACCTTCTCGGACTCCCCACACTCGCGATACCACACACAGTGTTGGGCCTCAACCTGAGAGAAAGATAACATAAACACCATGATCATTTGAGCATTGTGTTCCTCGAGCAAAGGAATCTGACATTTTTGTTTCAGTATGTTGGTTTGCAGAAAGTATGTTTCTTTCTCTGTCGAGTTGGCTGAATCTTACTGTATGTAGCTTTTTACTGATAGGGAGGCATATTTCTATGTTTATCTAGTGAGGACAAGAACATGGTCTTTCAAACAAATCAAAGCCAAAAACTCAGAGTTCCTTTAAAGACCACAGCAGACCATGTGACTTAGTTTTGGCTGCTCAAAAGGTCTTAGGTTATTCTAATGTGACGTTAGAGTTGTGCCTTTTTACCTTGAGGTTTTATATTTGCTAGGTTAAACCAGGAGGCATGTTTCATATCCTGTGTTTCTAGTATCTCTCTCTTTGGATGTCTGAAAATAAAAATCTCACTTCTGCAAAAGTGTTTCTTTGCGATCTGGAGTGTAAGCCTTAGTTTAGTCACATCATGCAAGATTATCTTGACTAACTCAACATCCAATGTCAAAAAAGAAAGGCCAGAAAAAGGATTTCTATGGCAACATAACACTGTAGCCACTGTAGTTATAGCCTATAACCATGTTCAATTTGAGCACTTGAAAAAACATTTATTTTATATCCGATATGTTGCAGAAAATACAACAACATACAATCACCACTGTTTAATACTTCAATGCTTACATTTTATACTTTTTACAGCTTCTGCGGTCAAACTGGCAGTTTCCCTTCATCTGTCTATTCAGCATCAGCGCTCTCACGTGTTCTTTGTCAGGAGGGTGACTAACGGAAGTTAACTCACTCTACAAAATGTTCTATGAGTAAGCCCAGTGTTACACCCTGTCCTTCTTCTGTCTTGCAGGATTGAATTCAGTTGTATGTAGCTTTAGACTCGGCCAATACTCTACCTATACCAACTGTTTGTCCAAAATCCACTTGCAAAACTCAGAACTAGTTGTAAGAGCTAAATTGAGCAAGAACCAGAACCTTGCAAAGTTTGTTTAAAGTAGTTTAAACAGAAGCCTGATCTATGACCTCCCCAAATCTGACCCTGACACACACACACACACACACAGGTTTCTGGATATCCACTGCAGTCACCAAATAGTCAATATTTTTAAACTCATCCCACATTCTTGTTGTTTTTGCCAGTATGCTGAGATCTTATCTTGAAACAGTAATGATTAATCATTTAGCATAGTTTCTACGTGGTTCTATGCATTGCAGTGGCTTTACCTAAGTACCTCACCAACAGGAGGGTAAACAATGTAGTCAAGTGAGCAGAAAGGCTACTGATAACAAGTGAGTGAGTATTCCACATCTGATTAAATCAAATGGATGGAACAGGGACACAGTGTTGTTTGGTTTGTTTTGAAATGACATCACCAAAAATACCCTCAAGTGAGGAACTGATAGACATGGTGTCTTTATGAAAGAAGATCATTCTCCATAAAACTACAACAGGACAAATGTGTGAGACCATGCAAAAGGTGGATCTTGGATATTACACCTTGGGGTGTACCTTGACCATCAATATCGTCAAGGTACACCCCAAGGACTTGCTTATCTTTTGTTTTGTCACATTTACTACTTACATGTACATTTGGACAATCCAAATAAAAAGAGATTTCATCCACAAGCAGTGATAACGTCTGTTAAATTAATTTCTAGCTATCTTGCTTCCAAGCCATCTAACGTTAACGTCTGATGCTAAATAACTTGCTAACGTTGCAGATAATGTCTTAACTGGGTTAACCACAACATTAACTGAACACATTAACTCACATAACAGTTTTCTATCTGTCAATAAATGACAGAATAAAACTTCTTTCGAAAGCGGCTCCTGGATACAACCTGCCTGAGGACTACCTGTCTCTGAGGAATGTCAAAACTAACGTCATGTCTCATCCATTTCGGCTTTCGCTAACGTTACGGGGCTGGTGCAGTTCCCAGCTAGCATTAACTTTAGCTATAATGCTTCAGCCACTATTAAGCTAACTACAGTCTAACGTTAATTTAAACCCGGATATTAAAAACAAAGTCCCTAAAGAGCTAAATTAACGTCAATTACACAGACCTGAGTCTCAGTTTCGCTAGCCGCCTCAACTAACGTTAAAGTTAAAAATAACGTTAACACTACGCAACTGGCGACTGAGCTGAGTCATGTTTTCGTCGCGGGAACACACACGCACATTAAGTTACACTCACCCATCGGAAATGTCCCTCTGACAGGAGTACAATGAAAAACAGTAAAGACAAAAGCCTTCTGCCTGGTAAGTCTCCCATCCCTCTTACTCACGAGACCGAACAGAAGTGACAATCCTCTACAGAAGGTTCGCATTTCATGTTATGGTTTCTTCTTCCTCGGATTATTTGTTTGGGGCAGAGACAAACTGTTGCTTCAGTGCTGCCACCCCGCGATATTGAGGCCGCATGACACCTATACACACTAATTAATAGGCCCTGAAAACAAGGGTGTGGGGTTTAGTTTCATTGATGAAATCAAACAGAACATTGCCATTGACATAATCTCCTCTTCAAACAAGAATGCGGGTTAATGATTGACGTGTATGATGTCTCATCAAAGCACACCAAAACAGTCCTGATGAAGCAGATTCGTTGCTTATTGAGTTACGGTATAAATATTTTAAGTTAATGGCGAAACACTTAAGATTTGAAACGAGGTGTTCATGTGCTTTAGATCTTAATTTAACCTAACAAACTTTTAACATAACTTTAACTAGGATATATCTATCACATCTCTAAATCCTGCAAAGACTGGATGTTACCTTAATCCCTAACACACAAAACCCCAAAGTCTAACCTAACCTCTTATATACACAGCACAATCCCCCCCAAGCTAAATAAGTAAATATACCCATCATATACCATCTTCAACTTAGCTATTCTTAAGTTTTAAATTGGTCAAAATATGCTGTGTTGGCAGTTCTTTGAGCTTGCAGCTCATTATAATTGCATGTTAATTTAAGTTTTCCCCTCAGGTCAACATTTTAATTTCACTTAATCTCTCTTCTGTCCTGAACACAGCAGACAGCACCATATCATGCCGGGGTGAATAAGAAACCCCTTGTTTATTGAAATTAATTGCTCAATTTTCCACTAGTTTCGAACAAATATAAGGGATTAAATAATATTAATATAAGTGTTAATCTCCTCAGTCAGCAGTTAAACAGTATAATCAGCAATGAAAGGAAATATTTAAGATGATAAATAACATCAAAAGCTCACTTTTGATCTATTAAAAATGAAATGCCATTGTTTTATTCTGTGTGCATTACACATTGTGTATGCAATGAAATTTTGTCCTCTAAATGCTCAATCAAGCTCCTTCTAATAACGTCAGCGGTGGTTTCAGGTCATGTCAAGGTGGTCAAAGGATTGCTATGTCACACTGACGTGCTGGAACTATAGAGCCTTCTAGTGAAGCAGCAAAGCATCAGGGTGGATGCTGCTTTGCTCAGCTGATTATCTGCTAAAGATATTTCATCAAGTTGTTAATTGAAAACTGAGTAGATGAATGAATCCTCAGGCTCTGAGTCTTCTTTCTTTATCTCACCCTTCTGTGGGGGAAAACACTAACAAACAAGACGATTTTCCATAGAAAAAAAGATTTATTCATCTTCACTTTTGAATGAAATAATCACAATTCAGGAATAAGTGCATATTCACGTATGATGTGACAAAACCGTGTACTGAGTATAAATTATACTATTTTTTGGGTATATTACAGCATAATCATTGTTTTCTGTACATGTACCTGTGTAAAATCTGCAAAAGTAGGTGTACAGATTGCTACAATAGTATATTCCTTTAAAACTAGGAATAATGTTTGCAATGTTAATGCTCTTGCAAGACTACAAGACTTTAAAGCTAGGCGCAGATTCATGGATACGGCGTGAAACAACACAGTCTACAAATTTACAGGGAAACACTACTTCCAATCTACAAATTCAAAGAAGTTACTCACATGACCTAAGACAGCTCAACCGGCATTTTTCCAAAAAAACTAAAGAAAAAAAATATATATATAAAAATTGTGAAAACTGAAAAATTTTCAAAGTGGTGGCTTTAACCCTGTTTTGAAGCTTTTTAGTTTTCCTGGTAAAGTTTTTTGCTGTCATGTCAATCTGTTGATCACTAAAAACTTGATAAGCTGTGCAGTCGTAGTGCTACAAAAGATACCATCTGTTGGAAGTAATCAGTAAAAGGGCCATCAGAGCTTCCTGGGTCCACAAACTAATGTGACATAAAACTCAGGGTTTAGCCAACTTTGTGGGTTTACACACCAATATGCTTCACGCTACAGGAGGTCTGCAGGTTTTGGACTGCAAAACACAGCAGTGTGAATATGAGCTCAATCACATATGCTACATTTAGTTACATTCTCTACATGGTTAGTGTGGGAGGACACAGGAAACTCTACTCTCTGTAATACATATAGAACTGTCTTAAAGCATAACCCATTTAAATTTTACAATTCAACAGTATTCCCCTTTAAACTGGCTGCAGTCTATAAATTGCAACATCCTCATTGACTCATCGTTCAGGATGAGCGTCGTCAGGCCTCTGAGGTCCCTAACAGTCAAGCCAACACTGACTCCCTTTAAAACTCCCATTAATCAGCTTGACTTCACCACAGAGAAATCTTCTGAAGCTTCACATCAGCGTCCACTGAAAGCACCACTGTGTGGTGTGTTTATATTTCAACATATCAATACTGTTAGCTGATTGTGTATCTAACTTGTGATTCTACAACACATGTACCATAGGTTGTGTTTTAGGTTAAGCTTCCAGTTTCTGTTCTTCGCAGTAGACTGTCTGCCTCCTAAAAAAATATAGCTGTCCTCCACTGACACATTTGGATCACATACAGAATTTTGTGCATTACTTTTAGAGAGATTTTCTCTTCTGAGGCTTTCAAAAGAGACTTTCACTTTAGGACATGGGTTACAACATGTATATATCTGGTCCAGCAACTCTCAGGTCAACTGAGCAATGTACAAGTCAGCTTCCATCCAGCTTTCATCAAGAAAAAGTCATTTGTAGTCTGGCGGAAAGAAAAAACTCTTTGGAATGAGAGGGAATTTGCGTGACAAGTATGACTGCATGCAAACAACACGGGAAGCTGCACAAAGTGTCACCTGACTCCGTGAGACAGGATACAACATACATGATAATTGATGGTACCACTTAGCTGTCCTTTTCCAGCCAAGACAGCAAAGCAATTTCTGAATGGAACAGGAATCAGTCTTATTTCTTCTCTGTATCCACTAAGTCCTCAGTCTGGACCCAGGTACTCTGTGTTCTCCACCAATGGGATGTGCCCGTTGGCGTGGGTCTTGAAGGTGGGAGTGAAATCCTGTTGGTAATCAGGGTTGTCTATGCTATTCTGGGGAAGGTATTTCTGAATGCTGTGGACCGTGCCATTGGAGGTGAGTGGGAGGATGGCGGGGGACGGGACCTCGTTGAGGTACTCGGGTCCGTTAGTCCCGTTTTTAAAGCAGTTTAGGTACTCTGTCTCTGTGTCCTCTGAGGAGATGGTCGGTAGGATGCTACGAGGTGGACCAGGGTGTTGGTAGATGGGGTTCATCAAATCTGAGACTCCGTTCTGGTTCATGTAGTCTGTAAGAAAGCCAACGACATTAGCAAGGGCACTAGATAGTTTCTCATTTAGTGTTTACACAACTAAAATGGAAACCAGCAGGTCATTTATAAAACTGAACAGACCATACTGGTGGTAATGCATGTTTTAGCCCATTAATTACAAATCATTACATCATTGCACTGCTGATCATTTCCAAATTTTGCAGATTGATTTCCAATCTTCCAGGTAGCCACTGTATGGACTGTAAGGGCACTCCACTTGCTTTACACATAAAGGTCAGTATATTAGTCATAAGGAGTTATTATACAGTATATGCTGTATATAATATATTCTGTTGCTCTGGAGGATATTTGTAACATCTAAGAAAATAACCCTGATGATGTCATCATTATCTTGGCTTCAGCTGGGAGACTTCAGAAGTTTGACAAAAAGGTCTGCGTTGCAAACTGGGGGTATCACGTTAGAAAGAAGTGGAGGTTAACAAAAAGATGCTGTTACAATGCATTTTGGGAAATGTAGGATCCAGTACTTGTGAAAATTCTGTATTTCTTGGCATCGATTTTAACCAAAGTTTTATAAATCTGTCGCTTACAAATGCCCCAACTTTATGGAAGGGCAATTCTAAATCAGTAGAGCACCCAGTGGCAGCTGGTGGTGAAAATCAACATACAGACTTAAAAAAAAAAAGTTTTACAGACGTACAGAAACTTTTAATTTTCTTTAAATTAATGCTGAAAACTTCAGAAACGTTTTCCCTAAAGTTTCAAGGAAGTGATTTGTGGTCAGAAAGCACTGCATTTATGAGCTATGTTTATCAAATCAAATCAAGTCAAGTACAATACATGCAATAAAAAGCACCTGTATGGTGTTTAGGAAAATCTAATAAAGGGGTAGGTAATACACAGAAGTAATACATGTTCTTATGGTCCTGACTACAGCCATAATGGTGCCACTATTTCATTTTAAATCCCCCACTACAGCCACTGAGACTAAAGATATAGGCCTTAATGGATGAAAGACTACACCCAATGTTAAACAGCATCTGTTCTGCAGTTGGGGTGTGATATCAATACGCTTGTATCAATATCAATACGTAACATCAACATGCTAAGTACATCAATACGCTTCTTGTTCACTAGATGTCCCCCTTTCTCACTGAATCAAACAGAGGGGCAAGGGCAGAGCTCTGCTGAGATTCATTTGAATGACAAAAAAACTTGGGTTTTTGAAATTGAAGGATACTTGCCTGGAGCTGGCTGGAAGGCGTCGTCTAAAAGTTTGTCTGTGGGGTCAGGAATATACCGGAGAACCAGGCTTCCATCATTGCTCGGGAATCCATTCTACAACAAAAGGACAGAGACTTTTAGGGCTGCGGCACTGTGGAAAATACAAATAATTCAATTCAAAGACTAATGCTCATTTTGTTTAAGTGTAATGTGAATGCAATGGGATTGGTTTTCTCTTACCAATAAGCCGTTCCTGCTGTGGCACGTTCCAATGCTGCTGTTGAGGCTCTGCAAAATAGATAATATAAGCTCGAGTTAATCTCTTATGATGGCACCACAGTGAATGCAGAGCAGGAAATTGTGTTTCATAGATCCAACACATTTGAATCTGCCTCGATTATCCACAAAGCAGACATGAAGTGAAGAAAGGTTTAAACTGTAACTAAGCAGACATTTTAGAGCAATGAACAACACAAAGATGGTCTGCTGTGCTCAGTTTTGGATTCAGGCAAATCCTTTATTTTTGTTTTGTTTCACTTGGGTTGTCTTTGATTCTGACTTCCTTGTTTTATTTATAGTTTGTTTAGTTTTTTTTAAATGTGTGTTTCTTTCAGTCTTTGTGATTTATTTTAAAGCCTCTCAGTGGACAATAAGTTCCCTTTGAATGTGATAGTAATGTGTTTTTATGGTACCCGAGGAACCATAGCTGTCATCTCAGTACAAGCTGATGAGGATCGAAATAAATGTCCACTGAGCAGATTCATTTTCATTCAGGCAATGGGACAAGCTTTGTTGTGTCATTCAGATTCTCGAGTCAAAGGACTGTGAACGGCGTTAAAACCATGGAAACTGAGCGAATAAAGAGAAAAAGAGTGACAGCTGTGGCAATGCAATTACTTTCAACAAGAAAGGGAAATTAAACACGCTGAAGGAGCAACCATCTGTAAAAAGAAAAGAAAAATCTCGAGCCACAGTGGGACATGCCCCAACAGCGATATTACAAAAGCAGGCTTATGCTGAACTTTTGTTGGACAAAGATTTTAAAAAGTTTGCCTGGTTGCCTGCAAAGGTAATCAAACTGTAAAGCTCGTATGAGCTAACCAGGCTGTCAGTGGCCGGCAATGATCCCAGGTAGAAGAGCCAGACCTACGCATGGCCTTCACTGAACCTGAGAACAGTTCTCATCAATCAAAGGGCACCTGGGAGGAAACGTGGGAGAGGGGATGATGTTGAGGACCAGTGGGTAGGGGTCAGGAAGAGGAGAAATAGTCCCAGTGATGACAGGTAAACAGAATGAGGGCAACCGGGGTCAGCCGGGTTCAGGCCAAGATCCGACTGTCCACTTAGATTCAAGGACAATTAGGATAAATGTCCTTGCTGTATGATCACCTGGATTCAGTTTAACAGTCAGGGGTCTGCGCCTGCTGCTTCAAGTGAAAGTTAATTGCTTTCAACAAGCTAAAAAATGACTCTGCGTTTATTTCCATCCTGACTCACAGGGTAATGATTTATGCAGAAATCCATTTCCTAAAACACTTAAAATAGCACAATTCAGTTTGACTGCATGTTGGTAAAGTTTGCTCTACTGGTGCATGTGGTGCAATATCTTAATCAATTAATGTCGGTAATGTTCTCCTGCATCCAAAGCAGCTGGTATTCCTCTTTCACTGTCTGGATAGAGAAGGCCAGCGTGAGTGAGTCTGGTGTGTGCGCCTATAGTAAAAGTAGGAGTCACTTTTTTTCTGTTGACTATAGTGGCTAAGAGAATAAAATATTCTGGCTCTGCATCTCAGCCACCTTGGGGAAGTTCTACATTGACAGGCAGTAGTCAGTCTCCACCACGAGTGACTCAGAGGCCTGTTGTGCTAATAAATTATTTTGCTGTTTAGTCCATGACTGTTTGCCTACAGAAATTATATAACAAACAAAATACCCTTCTTAAAGTTAGAAATGTTGTCTTTAAATGATAGCATTCTTTTACTATTTTAAATGCCCGACCACAAAGCAGAAATAACTCACCCCTCTGAGTTATCTTGAAATCAGCAGTGGTATGTTTTTGTGTGTGTGTATGTGTGTGTGTGTGTGTGTGCCAGAATTTTTCAGCATTTTCTCAGCTTCTGCTAAATCTGAGCCTTTGTACCACATATGTCACCTGAGACAGAGAGGCAGATAGACACACCTGATCCAAAACCTTTCATTGTATTTAATTTTTTTAATACGAAGTATCTTACTGTGGAGTGAAGCAGCGGGGTCTGGGAGGTGCTCGGGCTGCTGAAGAAGCCATGTTGTGGCACCAGGTACTCGTCTGCATCCACAGCATCCTCCATGTCCTCCCCGCTGATCAGGCTGCGGTACAATCTAGTGTCTGAGGGACTCGGCAGGTGCATGCAGTCATCGCCCTGGAATTGGAAGTTTAATAGGTTACTACAATTCATCATCAAATGAAATGAACGTTTAAGAACGTTAGACCTGAGGTAAAATTATACCTGAATGACCAGATAACGAGAAGGATCCCGAGCCATCTTTGTAAATTCGGCTATTAGTTCCCGGAAACGAGGTCGGCTATCTGCATCAATCATCCAACCTGTGCAGACACACCAGCAGATATCATCATAAGGCAAGAAGATGAAACTTTAGCATTACCTGTTGGGACATTATCACAAAATTAGCTGCAGCAGCAAATTTAGTAGATTATCATGTAAATGTGCTTTGGAAAAGCAGAAGCTTTCAATCAGAATCCCACCAAGCTTACATTTCACCATGATCATGTAGACATCTATGGTACAGATTGGTGGTTGAGGCAACCGCTCCCCTTTCTCCAGGACCCCAGCTATTTCACTGGCTGGAATCCCATCATACGGTTTGGTACCAAATGTCATCAGCTCCCAAACTGTTACACCTAGAGAAAGGAGGACAGTTGGTACATGTCAGTCTGACGAGCTGTCATTCAAGTTGTTTTGCTCCCAATAAAAGAGAAGAAACGAGAGTGACAGCGTGTAAGCTCCCCAAATATCACACAGTATCAAAATAGCTATGTTGACAAATTGGCTCTGCTTGCAGGAGTGGGAGTTAGCAGGATGCATCTCTGTGTTGGAGGAACTGAAGAAGGGAAAAGGAGGAAAGGAAGCCCGTCACTTCTGCCAGGGTCTACTGATGCTTTTGCCATATTGAGCGGAAGGCATGATCAAACCCTCAGGGGAAAAAGAGATTTGGAAGCTGGCCCACACAAGAAAGCTGTGCTGTGTTTCGTTTCCATGCGTGTGTCTGTCTGAGTGTGTGCAGGCATATGTGTGCTCCTGGGCTAGAAGAACTGTTTATGTGGGTTGCGGCAACAAACTCTTCTGACGGTGATTTCTGTCCATCTGACACTGATGGTGTGTAGGTGTGTGCTACCAGTATCCCAAAATCGCAGCTGCTAGCAAGATGTTCTCCCCATCTCATTTAAAAAAAAATCTTGACAAGCCTTATTAGAACCAAAAACAACATTCAATCTGAATCTTGAAAATGTCTTTCCTCTCTTTGCCTCACCCGCTGTTAAAACACTTTATTTAGCAATGATTAAATATTTCTCCAGAGAGACTGTCACCAATACTCGGGATCACAGAAGCTCGGCTGTTTACCATATCTTAAGTTACACAAGGATTCGGGCTCAATCTGCGCTGCAAGCAGGTTCATGCCTCTCTGGGTTAGAGGTACAGCATGTATTCATAAAGCACACGACTTACCATAGCTCCATACGTCACTCTGGTGTGTGTATGTTCTGTTCAGGATAGATTCAAGAGCCATCCATTTTATTGGTACCTGTGGAACAAAAGATTTGTAATATAATAATCTCCATATATATCTGTAACTTCCAAAAAATGCAATTTACTTGTACATTTGCACATAAGGTGATAAAAATGCACCACCTTAATGTTCCTGCAGTGGTGGTTTTTAAAGAGGGATGAAAAGTTAATTAGTTCATTGAGACAGCGGCCTCAACTGTACACTTGCCAAAGGTTTCTCAATGTCCATATTAACCTGTTAAAAGGAGCATTGACTTAATTTGTACCTTAAGAAGATCCAGTCAAATTTGGCTTCTTTCCTCAAAGTACTGTAGCACTTCTTAAATTGAAATCCATTACTCTCTTTCCACATACAGTAGATAATGTAATTGTACTGCCACCTAGTGGCGCAGAATTGTATAGTCACACATATGAAAATCTCCATTTCATCATGAAATTACTGAAAATGCCAATATTTAACACAGATTGCAATCATAGAAATGCAAACAAAGTTTTTGGTTGGGTTTGTAATTTACAGGAGATGAGAAGCAGTGTGCTGTCATCACACAGTGCATCACACAAAGTAAAATTTTTCTGGGATTAGGATTAAGTCTAGTCCCATACTACAGATGTTTTTCAAAGGATATCTACAGTACACACAGTTGTCTTTTACCCTAACACAAGCCTTAATCCCTGTCTGGAAAACCGCCCTGTAATGTTCAGTGAACAACATGTTTCAGAATAGCAACACGTTTAACTACAACAAATAAATGGAATCACAACAGTAGCAGGTTTCTGTTGGATGTTTGAGATGCAGTCCAGCTTTGTCCAAATGAATTTCAAAGACCTGAATAGTCTCCATGTCTGCATGTCCCTCTTTGAGAACAAGCTATTAAATCTCTGGACAGAAACTGAATATTGTATTACATTACCAGTCCAAATTATTATATCATCTGTTAGTAAAGAAAATAATAAACCACAGAGGTAATGGAGGTCTGATAAAATAAAATGGTAATACACAGATCAGTAAATATGTTACTACAAGGATATGCTTCATCATGGGAAGTTAGACATTTAGTACTACACATTTTTTGTGACGAAAATGGTGCTTTCAGTTGCACAAAGAAACTTTGATAAGAGAAGGAACTTATCTGTTTTGTCATTTCTCTTAGAACTCAGTTCACTGACACAGCTATTTATACTACATCACTTGCATAAGATACAATCTAGACCAAAACTACAAAATTCAAAAATACCATCTTTCATGACACAGTGCAATTCATTCTTCTACAGGAAGCCATCTGTCTAATAAGCACCCCATTTCTAACAGCCTATAAGGGCAGAAACAATGTTAATCCGATTTATCCTATTTGTGTGCACAACCAATGTAAAAACAAAAGAACTGTATTTAAAGTGTGATCTTTGGCTTAGCATCTTGATAAATAAAAAATATATTTGATCTTTTTGAAATATTCATGACATTCAGATGGACCCTGCCGACACTGTAGACTGCTTTCATCTCCAACCAACCTTTCCGCCATCCGCATGGTACTCTTTCTCGTCTGCATTGAGGAGTTTGGCCAGACCAAAGTCAGTGATCTTGACATGTTGAGGAGTCTTCACCAGGACGTTTCTTGCTGCCAAGTCACGGTGTACTAAGTGGCGCTCCTCCAGGTAGTTCATACCCTTTTGTCAAACAAATCATGAAGTACAAGTTATTACATAAGCGCAGTACTCTTTTTCACTTGCTGTCTGATATGGCTAGATTCAAGAGTGTCAAAACATGGAAATAGTGCTACTACATACTGTCTTGATAGACTGGTCATCATCACCTCATATCATCCAACAATATTTCTTAGCAGTGAAAAGACAGCATGTACTGTTCTTTCTAAAAGATGCAAAAACAAACAACTTAACTTGCTCTGCAGAAATGCTCAGTTGCTTTTGTTTTTAATCACATGCCCTGTATGACTATAAAACTCACATAGCCATGGGATAAACACTTCTGTTATTGCAAGTGAACCACACTGAAAAATTAAGGTACTTTATTTCTTAATATCTATTGTAGGCGTGCTTAACAGCCCCATAAAGGGATGTACCTATTGAACAGACTCTACCACATAATGTGGTGCCTTTACAAGGTTTCTCTCTTACCTTTGCTATCTGCACACACCAGTTAAGCAGGTACTGGGAGCCAATGTTGTCCTTGTTCTCTTTGACATAGTCCAGCAGGCAGCCGTAGGGCATCAGCTGGGTGACGAGCTGCACTGTGGAAGTCAGGCAGATGCCAAGTAGACGACACACATGGGGGTGTTCCACGCTGGCCATCACATAAGCCTCCTGTTGTGCGCATGTAGACATAAGCAAAGTTTTTTTTTTTGTCAGTTAATATTTAATATTATTTGGGGGCAGTCAGGTGACACAAAGAACAAAACAACCTCCTTCTAGTGTATGGGGGGAAAAGAAAAAAAAGTGTCACACATTGATGGAAACATTGAAAGAAATTGTCTTACAGCCTATACCATCTTCCACTGAACCAATTCTGGTAAAAGTGTCTACACTGATAGCTTAAGAAACACAATATTTGCAGAGCTACGCAGTGTTAGGTGATCAGTTTCTTAGCAGCAGTCATACCCAGCCAAGCATATTTTATGTGGCTCAGCTGAGAGTGGAAACTCTCAGAAAAGACCAGGGGGATAATCCGCACTGGCCACCAACAACAGGCTTCCTACAAAGAGACCCGCGCAAACAGCACTTCAAAGTGAGCTTTATTTACTAGGTTTCCTGTCATGATTGAAATAATTGCACCCCGAATATTTTCTACATGCCTATTTAAGTATCAACATTGTTCAGTAAATAACCACTTCATTGTTAAGAGCTCTGTAATTCTGGTTGATGAGGAAAAGGCTTCAAAGGACATTTAAAAGCAGCCCTCTGCCCTTAAGTTATGAAGTTTAGGGCATGTGCATGTCCACCACAACTGCCAGATGTACAGTGACTGAGCAACATGACCGCAAAATCACAGGATCTAAGACGCACACTCAGCCATTTGCATAATGCATTTTGAACAGGCTGCTTTCTCAGTGCGGCTACAGGACTGCATTCCTTTCGAGAACACCTCAGCCTTGGATTACACACCAACGCCCGCACACAGCCCTCCAACGAATTAATCCTATATCCTAGAGCCCCGTCAGCAGGCACATGACACGTTCTCGCTTACAAGGAAAATAAGTAGTCATTAGTTTCAAATAACGTTGCATATGTTATAAATTACAGGGTACATTACAGCTAAATTGACATCTGGGAAGCAATAATTGTCATTCACTTTGTGCAACACATTGAGGTACATCTGAGCCTTTTTAATCAAGTCAAAATATGTGATAATTACTAAAACAAATGTGCATAGAGTTTTTAACTATTATATTTCCACTGTCATATCCCACCAGCAGCACACACTTTACTGAAGTAGTTTGAGAAAAAAACATTTCAAAGGAATTTTTTTTTTGTTCTGACTAAGTCTTACAGCAAACTTAGAGCGCAAACATGTACCACATAAATCAGTAAACCTACGTCCAAGATCTCTTTGTTTGCTTTTGGTGATGTGGCCTCTCTCAAAACTTTGATGGCCACTGGGATCTTCACATCCTCTCCTTCTGGAACCCACAGGCCCTGTGTGGACACAAGTTTGTCATTTTGCATGCTTTAATTATACCTGAATCATCAAGTGAACACAAGTGCATACAAACAAATACATACACAGTACAATTACAAATGCCGACATGTACTGTATGTACTGCATGTACTGCATGAGTGTAATCCTACGCGCCAACCACTTTGTACACTATACTTTTGAGGACCCTCTTAACAGAAAGGTTAAAAATAACAAAGTACATTTACTCAAGTACTATGCTTAAGTACAATGTTGAGGTACTAATATTATCCTTTTTACTACACATATTCAATGTATGACATCTGTATTTTACATATGATGCATTGTCAAAGATTAAACTACTCAAGTAAATAAAGTAGTACAATGCTGCGTACACCCTAATGCATCAGTAATAAAAATCTAAATATATAAATTAATACTCCATTCTGGATTCTGTTGCCCAATGATTACTTTTAGTTTTGATATATTTTTGTGTTTCAACTCAAATTATAAATGCAGGATTTTTACTTGTAATTGAGTATTTTTTAAAGCGTCACATTAGCAGTTTAACATAACTATAGATGTCAATACTTGTTTCACCACTGACTAAACCTAATCTTAACTTTCACAACTGACTGGCTAACATCAACTTTCCAAAAATGTCATCTCGAGGTTTCTCAAGGTCTAAAACTTGGTCCTCACAAACATAGAAATCCAAAAGCACACAAGCACACTTGTTTATGTACCAAGTAAGCACATTGTTTTGAGTTATATTCTCACTCTTGGGATTTACTCTAACCTTCATCTAAAAGTAACAAAAAAAAACAGACGATAAACTAAGACCAGCCTTTTGTCCCCATGTGGAAGATAAGTCCCCACAATGTCACTGTGTAAACACACATCCCCACAATGAGATAAATACAAGTATCCACACACACACACACACACACACACAACGCTGAAAGTGAAAGTGGAGTCACTCATGCATGATCTGGCAAGTTAAAAATGTGTCTTTTAATTGAAAAATTGACAACAGATGTAGATGAGTGAAAACACTGATGGGTGTTGGTTATGTGGACTTGGTACATGCAGTACTCGTGAGCTCCAGCTTCAATAAAGCTCAGTGCTGGAGTGGAATTGTGACAATAATGTGTTTTGAGAGACAAACCTGAAAAGTGTTTTTACCTTGTAAACTGTACCAAAAGCCCCCGATCCCAGCACTTTGATTTTCTTAAATTCAGGTTCCTTCAGGATCCGCAGCAGAGCCTGGTTTGGTGCCTCTCCACTTGGAGTCAGAGGTTCAACCAACTGGAAAATAAGGACTCAATATCTCACATGCTGTCTCGCAAACAGCACAGCTTGTATCTTTGTAAATTAACCCCCCAAAAAAAACTCCTCTCAATCTTCATGTCTCCAGCTAAGCATGGTGACTCATCTTACCTCTCGCTCCTGGAGAAGTCTGCGCATGGTTCTCTTCCTTTTGATGTGGCGTCGGCGTAGCAACACAAAGACAGACAAGCCCGCGAGAAGAACCGCCAGCAGTCCACCGACTACACCAGCCGCAATCATGGAAAGACCAGAAGGGCTGAAAAACAGGTGGGAGCCGATGTAAGAAAGCAGACAGAAAACAGAGCACATTTACAAATTCAATAAGCAAGGCGAGATGAGATTAGAATGTCGAACTTGGGCAAAGTCAGTGTTTACTTCAGTTTCAATTATCAGTGTGACCGTGTTTACTCACCTTTTACTCTGGCAGCCTTCAAGACCAGGCGCAATGCACCTGTAAACAAATCAATGCAAATAATCTGATTAGCATACCATAACGATACAAGGTAGATTTATTTACCAAGTCATCATATGTCCATTGTTTTCCTTTGAAGCTAAACAATCAGGAAATGCTTCGCAATCAGTGTCCAGAGTCATTTCATGAAAAACAAGTTCCAAAAGTCCATCAACACATGGAGTGACGGGATTCTGGTGTCCCTGAACCATTTCCCTCACTCACTATGGCTGAATGCTGATAGTTCATCAATGTGAACTTCTTTCATTTCAGTCAGTTATTTTTGTGCTGTTCTATAATGCAGTGCAGACATCCATCTATTGAATACTGAAATGAATAGAAACTAATGGTAAAAGCATTCAAAAATCTACAAACTTATGGCATGCTTTGGAAAAAGAGCAAAAGCAATGTGAAATATGTATATTTATATTTTTAGTAAACGGGCAAAATGATTAGTCACTGGTATTTTCTTTTATTCTAAGTTCACAACATCCCCCTAAATTGCCCGATTTCATCATTAATCTCAGCAAAAATTGCCTCATGTTGTCAACCTCCTTCTCCAATCTGTTCCAACAAAACCACAGCTGGCCCTTCTGGCTTGGATTAAGTTACTGCATCAACATTACGACAGATAAATGTTTGCAACACAGGGAAAAGGAGTGCCAGCTCTCAGGTCGGCTGAACAATGCTTTTACCCTTGAGTGCAGTTTTTGTGGCATAGCTGGCACACTTTCATCTCATCTGCGTATTTCCACACAAGCGTGTCGTCCTCCCCTGGCACGCCTTGGGGACACCGAGACACACAGAACAGTCCATCTTGGAAGTTGGCACACTTCGTACAGTTTCCAGAACCCTGGAAGTAAAAAAAAAAGAAAAAATAACTCATAATGTTTACAACTCTCTAGAGAGGAGTAGTAAATATTATGTAAACTGCACTGTCTCATAGTAATAACTTCTCAAAAGCATGATGCATCCATCTTTCCCATAAAGATGCAAATGTTTAGCAAAATCCACCCAGAAATATTAGGTGCTTCAGTTTAGGTCAGTACAACTCTGAGGCACTTATTGCTGTCACATGCTGAAATTTAATACTTCCTCTCAACCTGTCTACTTCTATTTTTTAATAATGATACTCAACAAAAAAGGGCTTGAACGTGTTGCTTTCAGTGAGAGATGGGATTATGAGCGTAAATAAGTAGACAGTGCACTAGCCACACAGCCACACCCATTATCCAAAACACAACATGTCTTGTGGCTGCACTGCATTATGGTCTTTTAAGGCTGCAGTTAATGGAGAAATTAGTAGTGCTATTGCTTCTGGGATGAAGTTCATGCTGCATAATTGTTCATTTGTGGTGCTTTTTGATTCTGAGCGACTGACATAAGACATGACATACACTGTTAACATTCATTAATATTCTTTCATTCATTTTCATTTAGCTGACACTCTTATCTAAAGCCACTTATAATTGCTATATATGTCAGAGTCGCACGCCTCTGGAGCAACATGGGGTTAAGTGTCTTGCTCAGGGACACAATGGTGTCTCACAGTGGATTCAAACCCAGGTCTCTCACACCAAAGGCATGTGTCTTATCCACTGCTCCATCACCACCCCAATGTTCTACAAAATTTAAAGTGTTTGAGGGTTTAAGCGTGTTTGTAATAATAGTTTAGTTGTTGTCAAACACATACAGGCCCACTACAGGTTGCAGTCCCATTCATGCGTTGACACTCGGGGTGACACTCCATGCAGGTTTTGCTCATGACGGCCTCCCGTGGCTCTCTGCAAAAACAGTAACAAAGCTGACAGACTCTCACCGCTGGTGCACCGCATTTCAAACAGTGACATGTGAAGTGAAATTCTTGATCCCCTTTTTTGAGGGCACAAGTTAAATTGTAAGCATGTCGAGATTCAATGTTTGACAGAGATCTGCAAAGATAAACAGATGCTAGTGAATGTGCCATTTCAGCGACAATGTTTGTCTTATATCTACTGGAGGTTTAACTTCAAAATACCTTGGATCCTATTTGGTCTTAGAATTGCTTCAATAACAAATCCCCAAACTCATCTAATGTCATAGTCGGAAATGCTGTTGGTATGAAAATAGATGTTGAAGGAGTTAACTGTACAGCACACAGATCTGATGTTCAGACTGTTTGTCTAAAACAAGGAACACTGCATTTCAGAGCTTAAAAAGGCATTAAAACCCAGATTCCTCCCTTACCCCTCCAGGATGTTGCAGGAGTCAACACAGCTCCCACCACGGCTGTAGTCACGGCAGGCGAAACACATGTCTGGGCCAGGGCCCCAGCAGCCGTCCTCGGTACACTTCTTGTCACAAGTGTTGTTCCTTTGAGCTGTAAGAAAAACCCCAAAAACATACAATCTCAAGAAGAGATATTTCCTGCATAATTATCCAATTTTGAAATTAGACTTCTGGTTTGTGCATTACATAATCAGAAGTTACAAAACAAAACAACAAAAGGATCTGACTGGATGGAGTGGGAGACAAAATGTAATTTACCACATGCGGCATCATCAGCAATTTCCTCTATGGTAGCACTTTGGCTTTCTGATTTGAAGAGCCTCTTCCAGTGGCTTTTTTTGGTGTAGCACAGATTCTTGCTCTTAATGATGACCACATCTCCATCGCTGATTTCTTTGAGGGAGCGAAGGCCCAGGTAGTCGATCCCGAGCTGAGTTATAACCACGCTGCGGCTACCACTACAAAAGAAAAAAAAAGTGGAACAGGAAGAGAAGAAGAAAAGGAACGATTTTATGACAGCCTTGAATAATACTCAGCTCTCGAAAAACAAATTTGTTCCTCGTGATTCAGTGATTGTGAATCTACAGGGGGTCTTTACAAAGAACATACCGTTTAGTTCGTCCTCGAATGATCTCCAGATTCTCAAAAGGACTGAGTGAGCGCAAGCTCTCTGGCCACGTCTGAATCCACAAGTATCCTGAAGCAACAAACGGACTGTTAGTTGTAATACTCTTAAATGTGCATTTAGTGTGTCATGCATTTCTCAGGTCTTACGCAGTCTTACCAGTAATTTCTTTCACTGTCTTAAACACATCAAGCTGGGCAGGTTCCATTTTTGGTGTGTTGGTATATGGATCCCTACAAATAACAAATACATATATGTTATCGTTGGTATAAGTGCAGTCGATATAATTAATAATGTTAATGTCCTTGACTTGCCCATGAATCGATGTGTGAAAGAAACCAATGTTGCCATTGATTTTCGTGCAGTTTTTAAAGGAGTTAATGTTGGTGGCATTGATAGACAGGGCTCTAGTCAGTTCTCCTGCTCCAAGTCCATTACACACTGTTAACAATGGAGAAAACATACATAATTACATTAACTATTTTTAAGCTCTTGACCTTAGTCCCTTACTACTGTACATTCAGACCCTTTACTTCAGTAAAATAAGCAACACCATGAAGTCTAGTACTAATTATTATCAGCAAAATGTACTTAAAGTATCAAAAGTAAAAGTACATCAGTAGTATTATCATATGGGATTACAACCAGTGATGCATTAACATTCATTAGTATGTTGTAGTTGGTCAGAGGTGGAGCTACTTTTAACATTTTTCATACTATTAAGCAGATTAATTTAGGACAATGTATCATATTTTACAATCTGATGATACAGTTTGTATGTAAAATATTGCTTTTATCTTAGGGAACAGTGAAAAACAGATGATAACAAAAAAGATAACAAAATCCACCTACCAGTTGTGATTTTATGGGGAATTCCGTGCTAAGCTAACCAGCTGTTGGCTACAACAGCTAGCTTCATATTTATGAAATTGGTATCTATTTTCTCATCTAACTCTGACCCTCAGTGAATAAGCATGCTTCCCAAAATGTGTAAAAGTAAAAAAGTGCAATATTAGAATCTAGAAATTAGAAACTAAAATGTTGTGAAAAGCATAATATGGAAGCACTGAAGTGCACCTTAAAATTTTAATAAAGCACAGTACTTAAGTAAAAGTACTTTTTTATATTTTGTTCCACCATCGCAAACTATATTGTGTATATGAGTCAGAAGTATGTCCCCAGGTTGCACAGCTATGGCTTAACCTTTTGGGCACAGTCCATCACACTTGGCACACTTCCTGATTCCTCCCTCGTCCACCTCATATGTGTTACCACTGCATGTCCGCACACACGCTCCATGATCCGTCACAACATAGTTATCTGGAAAGATTGCAAAATGCAAGCCATTTACTTCATAAGCACATGTAATATTCAACATTTACAGGTTGAATATGTATGACTACAGGTACATAACACTACGGGCCATACAATATAGACTGACCTGTGGAAGTTAAACTGAGAAAGAACAGTGTCGCATTAACAGGCCCTGACACTCAATCATTTCCTTTCTGTGTTTATACAGTTTATAATTAAACTGTGACTAACTGTAACCACTGAATGTCTAACAAATCTGAAGGAGAACCCGGGCACTTGTTGAGCATACCACAATTTGAAAAAGCTCATAATCACGCATCATGTTTTTAAATATTGGCCAGTGAAGCCTACTGGTTCAATTTGATTTATCTTACTGTCAAGACAACAGATACAGTGCAGGATTTTATGCAAGTAATAAATATATCTGTGTCTAGGATGATGAAAAGTATTAACCTTAAAAATATAAATAATTGAGAATAAGTTTCTCCATTTATAGCTGTTCTTACGTGGGCAGCTCTTGACACAGGTGGCCCCAAAGTTGTACTTTCCATGTGGGTTGGGTACCAGCTGATGCAGGTTGGGGTCATAGCGCATGAGGCCCGGGCAGGAGTCCTTACACACCCCGTCATCCTGGAAGTCCCGACAGGCCTGCAGCACAAACAACAGTCATCCAGTACGCTGGGACCATAACAGAGCCCCACACTAATGATAACACTGCATTCCTCTATCACAGCCCTGGCTTAGTCCTCAGAGAGGGAGAGCAGACGCCTATACTCGACGTGCAGCCAAATGAAAGATTTAATCAGCATTTATATGTCTCATTGGTACTGAAACCAATAACAATAGTTCTAATCATAAAAACAGATGGTGCTGGGTGAGGGTTTTGTTTTCTTGGAGGCTTCTCATCCAGATTTAATGTAAACATATAAAATATTTAGTGTGTTATGTTGTTTAAGCTTGTCTCCTTCCCAGCTCCTTGATCTTATCATTACTTGTGTCCCCCATATGAAGGTGTGTGTCTCTCACCAGACAGTCAGTGGGCCTTGGTCCAGTGCAGCCCGCAGCACAATGCTCATTACAACAGTCACTGGGTGAAGGTCCTTTGCATCTCTTAGAGCACTGCTGTGCACAATTCAGCTTTGTTACTGGAAGTGAAAACAGGACAAAGTCTATAGAATGACCTGTTGCAAGTTTTTTTTCCAATTTACTTTTTATTTGTACATCATCACAATTAGCATTTTGTTCAAATTATGGCAAAAACAATGTGGCTTCTTTGCTGAATTTTTCCACTTTGATGTTATTGATATGCAGTGAAAATGTTGATAACGACCATGTACTGCAAAACGGAGAGCTTGAGGCGCTCATTTGGGCACACGCGGGACACTCACACTACTCTGTTGAACTGATTTATATATATATATATATTGCTCTTGTTTAGCTTCTATTTTTATTTCTATTCTCATTTGTATTGTATGTACTTCTAATTATTTATTTTATAACATAACATAAATGCAAAGAGGGACCCGCTGTTTCTCAATATGGAAACTATTTAACAGTTTTCAGTCTTTCAGTATTTTTTTCCCCATAATAAAATGAAATCACAGAATAATAACTCACAGGTCTGACAGTTTTGAGGACCAGGTGCCCAGCATGATCCATTGAAGCAGCTTGAGTCACATCTTTTACCTGTAAAAACAGACCACAAGAATAAACAGGGTACAATGTTTTCTTCACACCCTTAAAATTCTTTCAAAATGTATAAATCAAGCGATATACTGAATTACTTTGCAGTCTTTGCATTCTGCTGTGAAATGTATTACTTACAAAGTGGACTATTGCTGGGCACTGGCAACTCTATGTCAGGTTTGCTGTCTGCACTGACAATATCATTCCACTGGATTGTTTCCACGTTGCATAGATTGTTGCGTGAAAACTTCACACCTCCTTTTAGAATTTCTGCAAAAGACAACTTCAACGTGAATTCAATAGAATTACACAAATAATTGTAGAGAACACATTTTTTTTTGTTTGTTTGTTTGTTAGTTTTTTTACAGATTCATGATAATTCTGATATTTTGTGATACATGATTTCATAGAAAACTGAAAAAATTGAGAGGTGAGCCGACCTGTCAGGCTGGTCAGAAGAAGCTCCCGTGAGCTCTGGCCTGTCTCTTTGTCATTATTGGAAAGCACAGCAAGGGCGAACACTCCCTCATAGAGCGAATGACCGCGAATGATGCGCAGGTTCTCGAGAGGAATCGTGTACGCTGAGTTGAGGGCGATCAGGACATAGCCGCCCACTTCTTCAATTGACTATGGAAGGGAAAAAATTAAAAAGCCTTGCTGTAAACTGAAGCAGCTTAAGTTTAATAAGTTCAATTACATGAAATCGAGAAAGAACTGAACGTACGTGAATGCTATTTCCTGTATTTGTATACATTTATATGAAGCTTATAGCACAATAGGGTGAAATTGGTCATCAATAATAATAATGGTATAACAAAATCATTTAAAAATGCATGTCAACTACTTTATTCAATGCACAAGCCCTATTTAAAATCATATTTTGTTTCAAAGATAATTGTGTTGCATTTACTCTTAAAGTTAAAGTTATGGCCAAACTTAATGATCAGCTGGTACAACAGGCTGCTGATACTTCATGATAATGTTGTTTTCACAGCTTTACCATAAGAGCACTGTACTTTACTGCCTTATGTTTTGATTGATGTTCAATTTTAGCATCTTTGTAGAAGAATGCTATGACAACATCTTGCCACCTGTAAATCAAATATAAATCAAATTATTTAGGAGAGGCAAAGTACAAAAAGTACTATCGCTAATACTTATGGCGGAGAGCATGTGGAGAGCATGCGGTAACAATTGAAGACGACCTTGAGGTGCATAGCAGCATTTTTATCAACTCAGCGCTTCTCTCATCTGGATTATGACAGCTGGACAGTACGTGGACTCTATATAGAGACATTTTATCAAATTGAAAAAGTAAAACTGAGGGGGACAAAAAAGGTATTTTAAAAGTGAGGGACTGTATGATATTCTGTGTTTGTGTGATAAACACACTGAATCATCCGTCCTTATGGACTCACTCTCCAGTGATTTTAATTATTTGTGCTGAAGCGATAAGAGCAGTGAAGAGTATGCGAAGATCCAGGATAGATTGTCTGGCAAAACTGTCTTCAGACCACTAAAGGGACGAGTGAAAAAAAAACAGATGATAGGAACCTTCTCCCATCAGTTATATGTGCATGTTTAACCTCCACTGCCAACAGATTTCAGAGTTTACCCTGAGGAAGGACAGGTCACGGTGCTCCTCCATGTGGGTGACCTCTAGGTTCTCCAGGACCACAGTGCAGTTGCTATAGGTCTTCACCATATTCAGGTAGTGGTCCTCTTTGGAACCCAGAAGATTTAAACGGTTGCTGATGCCTTGGCATACTGCAGGGGAAGACAAATAGGAGAATTTGTAAGATTTATTTAAATGACACAAGATGCAAACTGGTTGTAAATCATCTGCATTGTCACAAAAGCATTTATCCAAGGCCGCCCACGTAGCTATCAGTCAGAAACATTCACAGCTTATGTAACACACCGGCTCAATTTATGACTTTCTGTGTGTGTCTCTGTTTGTGAATTTGATCTGCGGAGTCATAACTTGGCCAGCTTTCATGTAAAAATACACGATCTGGGTTGCCTCTACAACAGGAATCAAATCTCACAAACAAAGTGAATTCTGGCTCATCAGTCAGAGTGAGTCGGCTGTATTTATACTGGCAAAGGCCTGAATCTTTCCACTGCTATGCAGCTAGTTAAAACAACCACTGCGACCAGCATCTCCAGGCCCATTGTGTCATTTCAGAGAAAAGATTCGGTGGATGAGTGTGTTTCTTTGGGGGACCTGGCTCTCTAAATCTCATAATAATAACCACCTCAATAACTGCAGCAAAGTTTAAGCATATCTGATTTTTTGGGCAAGTTCTCGACATGACTACATAACAACTTAAGGCTTAAATCAAATGCTGATATGTGGAGTTTCTTTCAGTTCTCAGTTCCAATAACAATAAAGCCACCGATACAGAGATTCATAGGACTACAATTATGGGCTGATAATGTAGCCTATCTGGCGTTATGCAATTAACTGTTGGGTTATGGAAGGCAGTATTACTGGTAAGTGCAGAAAACACACAAGGTTTTTTCCTAATGAATCTAGTTTTAAAGGAAGAAAGCATGTCTTAAAAAAGCAGGTCATCATCCTCCATTAAGTCGCCCCCCCTGAGCTGGTCAGACAGGTTCTGACTGGCACTGAAGAGTCAGCTGTGCTTAACACTTAGTCACCCTCCCAGCACACACACACACACACACAGCCATACATACATGCAAAAGCTCTGCAAGCACACATAATAATATATCTGATTCTCTTTTAAGTCTTAATTAATGGGTTAACTTGAGCAATAGGTTCAGAAAAACAAAAGATTCTTCCTTCTTTTTAGCATTATAGTGCTGGTTTAATGTCTCTTGGGTCACATTCCACAACGTGTCTGCTCTTGACTGCAAAGAAAACCAAAATATGCCCTCCAAATTCTAAGACACACCTCAAGACACTGTACATAACAGTTAACTTAATTTCGCAAAGGCATTTCTGATTGGCCAAACTGAAGAAAAACATGTACTATCATCTTTCAGCTCAGTCAAACTAGTATCTGAAGCCAGTATTTTGTACCTTTCCTTATCCGCTGTGCATTTTACTCTTGTTGTTGTTTTGAATTCACACAAACCAACAGCGATTGGGCACCCAGTCAGTGAGAATTAGGCACAAACAGCTGTCTCCCGCCCTACCTCTTCTTCTTCCTCCTCATTAGTTTGTCCCTGAGGGATCTCCCTGACATGAACCCTGCAGTCCAGCAGCCTAACGCCTAGGCAACAGAGGCAGACTAGCAAAAGCAAGCTGACTGTTTTAATAAGAGGAGCCATGCAAGATGTAATTAGCCTCCTAATTATTACTGAGACTGAGAAACCAAACTGTAATAAACAAAAATGTTGTCATGACTGTGCAGCTGTGAATATTAATCAACCTGATTTGGACATCCCTGATTGACAGTTAACTAATAGAGATGCTGATTATGGTTAATTAGCTATTGTTTTACCATAGACTGTACATCTATGTACAGTATGTTTCCTAGCTACAAACATACAGCCTGCTTCCTGTCTGAATGTTTTGTCCACTTAATATTTATTATGAGCTGTAAAGGCTGCATGAGGCAGGTGACTAAAGGTTTATCAAACTTCCTCCACCAGAGGCTCAGACTTGTGTGGCGCACAAGGAAGAAAAAAAAAGGAGAAAAAAAGAGTTGATTGCTCAAGTAAGCAGCAGTATAGCCACTGTAAACATTCCCCTCTGTCCCCTTGTTAATTTCATAACTCTTTTTCAGGTGGTAAATGACCTGATAGTCCATGACCATAAACTTACTTCCTCATAATGCTGCAACACATGAGAAAGAAACAAGGTCAGGCTATAGCAACTTAAGTTATAACTACAATATGGTTTCACAGTTTGACCTAGACTTTTATCTTCTTGTAACAACAGAGCCTACAAATGACAATGACTCTGACAGTATCTGAGTTAGATGTGTCATAAAAGCTTGCGCAACTTGCAAACTATCTTTCTGCCAGGAGAGACAGACAACAGCTAGTGTGGAAAAGACTCTGCACATTGGAAATTTCTGGGAAATTAGTTTTTTCATAGGACCTGAATCAGTTTTGACTCATCAAACATAAAAACTCAGCTTAATGCATACTGCTTTAATGCAAGGGTGGGGATTGCAGTGACGTAACAAAGACTAATTATCGATTGCTTCACTTCCTCCAGCTGTACTGTTGTGACAAAATGTCCAGGAGGTAACTCTAGGAGTGGCAGGTCTGGTATATCTCTGCCTCACTGTATGCATGTGTGGGTGGGTGGGTGTGTTTGTGTGTGTGTGTGTGTGTGTGTGTGTGTAATGGCATGTGTGAGAGTGTACAACACCGTGAGGAGTACACATCATTCCCAGTCAGAGCTCGACAAAAGACTTGATAAACCCGATCATTAGTCATCTAAGCTTGTTGGCAATGTGCGGTCGCATATCACTCTTTTCATGTTTACTTGGGGACTTGTGTTGGAAGTCAAGGGTGTGTGTTAGATATTTGTTGCTTGAGGCTATAGGATCTGCAGAAAAAAAGAAACTGCCTGCACTAATTAGCTGATTGTTCATGTCTACACTCAATACAAACTCAAATACCAAACTCACCTCTAGTTGAGAACTCCCATGCTACAGAGAAGGTTGGTCAAATAAATAGGTGTGTCAGCTACCGGTATTTCTCTCCATTAGCTGGAAATTCAGGAGTAATTACTTAAATCTAACAATACAATGCTTAAAAGTTTGTTTAACCATTGCTTTTAAAAAGTAAAATTATGCATGTAAAACGGGAAACCTTATACTAAACTGCCATCCAATACAAAAACACCACAAAATAAAAACTCTGACATTTGTCTTGACTCGACGTCTCTCTCAATAAAATTTTAACTTGAAAGAATAGTTTGACATTTTTGGGAAATATGCTTGTTTGCTATCTGGCAGCGATAGATTATCAGATTGATACCACTTTCATGTATGTACAGTAAATGTGAAGCTACTGTGAGCAGGCATTTAGCTTAGCTTAGCACAAAGATAAGAAAGGGGGAAACTGCTAGTTGTCCTTGTTTTTTAACACTTAAACACTTTTGTACGAGTTAAACAAACAAGGTATAATGAGTTAGTTTGTGAGCTTTAGGAATGCCGATAGGTGGATTTTGTTGCCATTGGACTAGCTGTTTCCCCGTTTCCAGTCTTTATGCTAAGCTAACTGGATGCTCGCTGTAGCCTTATGTTTTTCAGACAGATGTGAGGATGGTGTCAATCTTCTCATCCTCAAAGGTAGCATACTGAAGGGCAATTGTTGGATATATGCTACAGGTCTTTGTGTTATTATGTCCTTCGGCTATTTTTTGTAAGCAGTGTTGGCATCAAACTGTTAAATGAAAACCTTGTCTTTAAACTTTGAAACTGAAAAACTTGTTTGACAGAGAAAAGGGGAACGAGAAACCAAAGTCACGGCAGACAAACTTTACAGTAAACATATGAGACACATTAACTAAACATGGTAACATCAAATGTTAAGTACCAAAACCAACCAAAGGAAAAAGGTCCAAATCTGCCATAAATTCACATTCTGGATGAAACATTGTGTTTTTTCTGGCCATGAGAGGAAATACTGACTGTCTACAAATGAAAACCAAACTTTCCAGGCACATGCAAAAACTTCTCTAACCCAAATGGTTTCCTTTGGTACACTGAGCCATCTACACCACATTTAAATCATCATGCTTTATACCTTTCTGCAGACAACAGAAATGGCCCTGCCGCATTCTCTTCCCCTCATTCACTACCTGCAATTCAATTACGCCGTGTCCAGAGTCTGATAATTGCATTATCTGAAACGTATACATAATTAATGGGCAGTAACAATGCCAACTAACATTACTTGTTTATTTCTTTCTCCGAGTCAACAGCATTAGGACAAAGTCTCTTATGTAACTCAACCTGGAGTGTTCCTCTGCTGATAACAAATCGATGCCAAGATTAATTCCTTTATTTAGAGGTAAAATATGGTTGACCCCCTCATATGTCTGTGCAGACGTAAGAGAATGTTGACAAGACGAAAAAATACACATTCTGCTTTTAAGCCTGAATTTAAAGTTGGGGCTCACTTGAGGTTGCATGAAATCAAATTTCCAGACCTTCAAATTTTCAGATTTCAAGGAAGCATGAATCTCTCAAAGCTCACTATCAGTGAATGAATGAAAAAACCTTCCTTGATTCTTTCTTTGCATTCAGCTCATTCTTCCTGCTCTTATATTGTGGGTAAGCTTAAGGAGGAGATCATATGTCATATAAAGCCGAAATCAGCAGCACAAGTAGTCAGATGTTCATTATTTGGTGGAGTACTATGTTGCTATAAACATACTTTGTAGTTTGACATAAAAAATCCTGATATCCTGCTCCCTGTACAGACGAAACGCAATCTTCCTTTGCGTGGGAGATGCACCAATCCCTTAGAGAAAACATCTTGGGGCCTCAGAAAAGAAAAAAGGGGCCAGTAAGAACTAGAGGATGCGCCCCCTTCCCTCCCTATCCCCAGTGAATGCAACAACACAAGTCCCTTTGACATCTCAGGAAGTTGATCTTTGCACGGGGTCAGTTCCAGAAGGCTACCCTGTGATGCTGAACCGGATGGTAGCTGATCTCCAGGGGAGGAGGACAGGAGGACCGTCTAAATCTAACTTAATGTACTATTGGAGAAGGCAAACTGGTGGAAAGGAAGTGGGAAGAAAGGAGAAGAAAAAAGGAGAGTCTGGAGTGGTT